CTATAATACAACAAAATATGTGTTTTAAACTTTGTTTATATTTAGATAAAATTTGGTGTGACTGCACTGGCTCCATAAAAGACGCCGACGTCTCCTCGCGCTAGTGTCGTGGTAGCAACATGCTATGTGTTTACATCCATCGCTGCCATGTTTGTAATGACTTATCATGAGAACAAACGTATTCACGTGACTTTAATAACATTTCTTACTTAATGGAAACACTGCAGTTGTGAAACTGTGTTTTTGACATTAACAGAATATCAACAAAGTTTTGCGCACATTTGTAATGGAAACACAGCTAGTGAAATTTTAGTGTAGCACACCAAAACCAAAGGCTAAAGAACACTGATCACTTCTACGGTGGATTTATAATTCTTTTTTTATCCGACTGTCTGAATGAACACTCTACAAAGTCTTAAGTTGATTAAATGCTGCTGCTATAGTCCTGATGAGTCACCATATTTCTTAAGTTTTAGTTTCTCTCCGCTGGCTCCCTGTCAAATTCAAAATAGAATTTAAAATCCTTCTAACATACAGAGCTCTAAAAAAACTGAGCTCCAGCTTATATTAAAGCTCAAATTGTTCTCGTTCTGCTGGAGGGGTTTTCATGTTAAAGGGAGTTTTTCCTTTCCACTGTCACCAATGTGTTTATAAGGACTGGAGATTCAACAAATGGAGGTTTTGATGCAATCTGATAGCTTCCTTAGATAAGCAACGTTTTTAAATTGGCATTTCATATTGTATTGTATGTGAATGTGTTGTAAAATTAAACTGAATTGATTGTATGTAGATTTAAAACTGATATGAAGGAACTTATTTTTCTTGTTCAGTACCCTGAGATGACTTTTGGTTCTTTACAAATAAAGTAAGTTGAACATTTGCAGTTCTTGCAATATTAACATTGCACACACTGATAGTGCAGCAACAATAAATATTCGATGTGTGCAGCCCTGGTAGCAGCCTGAAGCAGCGAGTTTGTAAGAACATTTTGATCAGAACCCACGCTGTGCCAGGACCATGGAGCAACATATCAGACATGCTTTTTCCACAACACTCATGGCTTTTCTTGTAGTTTCCTTCGTATCAAAGAGAGGAGGATTTGCTTTAACACAAATATGCTTGTTTTTATGAAGATGAGCAAGAAGCAAGGCACCAGCATTCTCTCTCTCTGCGTTTGGTATGTGTCATACCTGGGATGAAACTCACACAGATACATTTGCTCAGGTGTTACTGATCCACATGGAAACTGAAGGGAACTGGTAAAACTCAAGAAGATAATCTCACAGTAGCAGTTTAGATGTTTTAGCTTCCCAGTAACTCCATTGGCAAAGGGTCTCCTGCTTTTAGTGGTTCCTGTTTCACCCTGAAGTGACCAAACACAAAAAGTGACTTTGATAAATCTTGATTACATTCACAATCATATTTAAGAAGTTCATTTGGATCTTTTTAAGCAGATGGATTGATGAGCATTGCTTCTTTAAAACCACAAGGGGGCGTACATATCAAACAAACCCAATGATACAAAACCCACCCATGAATGAAATGACTGCACACCGAGCTGTCTGAGACTTGGATGTGGGAGCTACAGCTGATTAGCATTAGAAGCAGACAGATCTGGTTCTTTATCCAATCACAGCTTCTCTGAGGTCCAGGTTTTTCCACCATCAGTGTGGCTCCGTGTGGAACCAACCCACAGATTTACAGTTTGGCAAATATAGTGTTTCGACTAAAATGTTAACATAAATTGCATTTTGTCAAAAACATAATGAATAAAAGCCTTATCAATGTATCATTTGAATGAACTGTCTGAAATATAATCATAAAACAAAATGTTGAAGCACTTTTTTGAGCAGTAGCAAGAAAAAAAACTGATTTTGAGGAAAAACGCCTTAAAATGTTGAGATTTTCCCTGTGAGTTAGCAAAGTTTTGTTTCTTTTTATCTGGTAAATCTCAATATTCAAATATAATTTGAGGTTTCCTCTTTATAAGGACATCAAAAATTCCTCATTAAAATGACATCAAATTAGGATTCAGACCAAATATTTATGTATTATTGTAACCAACAAGACAAATTAAGTCATATATATGGATTTAATTATGATATCAGGATGATCCAGGTATCAAAATGTAGCTTTTAAAGACAAGAATCTGAAAAATATTAGGTCATTTTGACCAAATTTGACTTAATCCTCATTTTGTTATGATGGGTCACATTTGTTTTGCAGTCTCACTGAAATCTGAATGTAGGAAACAACTTGTCTGTTCAAAATTAAGGCCTGTCCAGTGCAACAACTCCTGCAAACGTGGTGAGACATTCTGGAGACTGCCTGCTAAACTCACCAAGTACAGCTGCAGCACAGTGAGACGCTACCTTTGAATTAATGTGTAACTCTAATGGTGTGAGTAACTGTTCCTTCCACCTGTCCTTCAATAACAGTGGAGATGAGCTTCAGCTCCCTGCGACCCTGCACAGAAAAGCAGGTAAAAAATATGAACAGATGGCTGGATGCACCTTCCTTGCTTGATCTTTTGTCTGTCTACAGTTAAGTGTCGCAAAGCTAAGAATGAAACATTTAATGGTTAAACAGCTCTAATAGTGCAACTCAATTTTGTTTCGCACTAGCTGCTTTCACATTTCACAAAAGAGTGGTAAAAACTATAACAATAGGTTGTGGGGTGAGATATTATGTAACTTTTCTTTAAGCTACATTACAACAGTGGCATCTCAACATAACTCTGTCCTTTGTTGTCAGGAAATGTAGATAATCGACATACTGCCCAGCATTCTGTGGATTATCTATCCTGCCTCTGGAGGTTTGCTGTTACCCAAAATGTCCTTTCTGCTTAGGGCTATTATGGACAGGAGTTGCTTAGAAATTGGTCCCAGACACGCTATTGTGTCGTACGGCAGCTAAGAGGAAATATTTTAAGCTTGAGCACCTTCTCAAGTTTGTCATTAGAACAGGAAGTTTGAAAATGTGCACTTACGTTAAGTGTCCAGCTCGGTCACTCCAGATATTTTAGTCCAGTGTGTCTGGCTGTTGTTGCTTCCCTGTTTAAACATTTATTTTGCAACAACTTACATTTTGTTAAAGAGATAGAAATGTTAAAAGCAAACAGAAAAATGGAACTCAAGTGTCTTGATTGAGATTAAAGTGCAGGTTTTGGGTTTGTTACACTGTTTGGTGAGGCTCACACAGTTTCAGAAAGACTTTCACAGGGCCAACAGGAGGACCCTGGCAATCGATGGAGCCTTCTCCCACTGACAATACTACATCCAGCTAAAAACCCATAACACTAGTTGCTGGGATTTGGTAATTGATGGATTTTCTCCCAGTTGCCTTGTTTTTCTGGCTGTATCCAGGATTCGCTGAGAGAACACATTGTGAAATCACAGCTGAAAGTACTAATTGTTCCAATGCAGGGCTGATGCTGTGTCCAACTCTGATCCGAGTGCTGGAGGTCAAGACGTAGGAGGAGGACGCAGGCTTTTACACTTCATCTCGTCCAAGTTCTTCCAGTAGTTGTAGTTCTCTGACAGGTGCTCGATCAGGTTAGGGAGGCTGGCAAAAGCTGCAAAAACAGAAAAGAAAACACATAGACACATATTTTATTTGCCTGTTTGGATTCACCACCTTGAGATGCACCAGTAGACAGTAAAGCAGAGGGAAAATTGTTATCGTCTGCCTGTCTCTTTTGTTCCCAAAACAACTGATTACAGGATCTGGATCTCCCCGACAACGACCTTGATCTGTTGACTAGATTCTTCCTGGTTGGATATGTCGACAAGGCTCAACCCCACACCTCCCCCCTCTCCTCTCTCGCCCGTTTGATTCTGGTTTCCTGGGCAGGCTGGGGGCTCACAGAATGAACAGTTCCATTAATATTCTGAACTATGGCTGCGCTGGTTTAGGGGACTGGATTTTTTTAGTCCCCCCCCACCCCAAACCCACTTACTCCTCTGGCTAATAAATCTACCCTACGTAGAGGTTTTTCCCTTAAATACCATAGTGTGTCACAGTGTTGATATAATATGATGTTTTTGTTGTTTTCCTCATCTTCCCTTGTGTGGTTTTTCTGTTTTTTTTTCTGTTTAAGATGGCTCCACAGTAGGCAGCCTGTTACTGCAGCTCCCCTGTCTTGAGTTGCTGTTATGTGAATATTTCCCCATTGTGGGATCAATAAAGTTCTATCTTATCTTGTCTTGTCTTGTCTTGTCTTATCATCTTCTCTTGTCTTGTCTTGTCTTGTCTTATCTTATCTTATCTTATCCACTGATTGTGTTTGAAGTTAAGTGAAAACCAACATAAACTAGTTCATGTTTTCAAATCCATGTGATTAAGGCAGGGGTCTCCAACCTGCAGCTGCAGGGCTACATGTGGCTCTTTGGTTCCTTTGCAGAGGCTCTTTGTTAAAAAATATTAAAACAACATCTTTTATTTCTATAGATTAGCAGAGACACTAGTTTTAGCCATTTTCCTGTCCATTTCTTTTTCAATGTGACACATTTTAATACAAGGAACAAATCCTGTTGATTAGATCAAGCTAGTGGTTGGTTTTGTTAGCCAGTTAACCACTTCATTGATCCAACTTCCTGCAACACTGTGTGATCTCTCAAATCCATCAGAAAACTTTTATCAAACATATTACAAATATTTATTAAAATAAAGGGTCAGTAAAATGTACATGTAATGACAAGAATTAAAAGCAATAGCTTACTCTCAATTAAGCTAGCGCCGAAACTATATTGCCTTATATGTATTAGCTCAGGGCTAGCGCGACAAACAAGCAGCTCTGTTGTCCTCCATCCATATTTTCAGTTCCAGGCTGAGTCATTTCTACCTTCTCCTCTCTGTCAACGCCCACAGTTATAATAAATGTTTATCAAATAAAGTCAAATGTTACAACTAATCATGGATCCCTTTAAGCCTCTAGCAGAGTGGTCTCCACCCCTACTGGCCAGAAAAGGACCCCAAGGATCTGGAAATGATCTGCAGGCCACCAGTTGATGATCACAGCTCTTGCACATTTTACAACTCTAGATAAATTTCATTTGGTGATTGAAGGGACAGAAATGTCTCCATGTAGCTGATTTCTGGATTAATAGGGTAAAATCCATACATTTTAACAGAAACATCTACTAAACTTAATTAGATAAAGCAGCATATCAGTTTTTGAAAATAATCTTTATTCTATTTTTTTCCTGTGTGTTTTTCTGTATGTTTAATACATAAAAATAGTAAAAACTAGTTGTCAGACAGGATTTATTAACTCTGAGCCAAATGAAATATAAATCTAAAACAAAGTTTGTTTACTGCTGACTTAAGAACACATCAGTTAATGACTCTGAGGCTGAAGGTCAATGTCTTTGACTTCCTGTGTAACCAGCAGATATCTGACCAGCAGCTGAACAACAGATCAAGTTTTGAGTTTCTCCTTTCCAATGTTAAAATACACATTACAACAAACCATGACTAAAATAGGGCTGCAACGATTAATCAACGACTAATCGATTATTTAAATAATCATCAGATTAATCGATTATTAAAATAATGGTTAGTTGCAGCCCTAGACTAAAATATGATCAGTCAGAATAACTCAAGTCACAAATCTTCATCAGAAAGCTTCCAGGTATCTGGTAACTTGTCTTCAGAATCTGTTTATTACAACTGTCACCAAAAACACATTTAATAGTCAATAATTATTGCTCATGATAATGTTTTTGCTCACGTGTGTCTGAGTTACAACTTCAACTTTGAGTTGGAAAAATCTTTAAAAAGGACTGGAAAAATGTTACTGAAATGTATGAAAATAATCATTTAAAATACTTGGCACCACTTTACAATTAGACTCCCCTTGTAGATGGCTTGTACATAGGTTACAGATATGTTATGAACTCATCTGTAACCACTTTATAAATCATTAATAAGTGTTTATTATGCAGTAATTAAGAATAAGGAAGAGACAAATCTGTCTGGTTTCTTGCTAAATAATGAGCCAAATCTGTTCATGTACATTTTATAAAGTGTTTTATTAAACATTTAACACTAGGTTAATTTGTAAGCACAATAATATATTGGAAACACATATTTACAGTAGGTACACTACTTATTAATGATTAATAAATGTGTATAAATGTCATAATTGAGGCTTATAAATAGTGTACAGTCACACTTTATAATAAGGCTCCCTTTGATAGCTGTGGATATGTATAATACAGTGCAATAATATATGTAAAATATGTGTTTCCAATACATTATTGTGTTTACAGGGTAGTAACAGTGTGAAATGTTTAATATTACAGTTTAGAATATGTACATGACGGGGTGCAACGATACAGAAAATTCACGATTCGGTTCGGTTCAATACTTTAGTCTCACAGTTCGATATTTTTTCGATACAATAAAAATAAATTTTCATGCCCCTTTTAACTTGTAATTTATTTAAATTAATTATCAACATTTGTTTAACCTCAAAAGTACAGTTTTTAAATTAAAGGCACAGTGTGTAGGATTTGTTGTTTTCAGCGACATCTAGTGGTTGAGTGGTTGAATCATCCCTGGTCCTCCCCCCACCCCCACTCTACGGTGTCTCTCAGGGGTCAAAAACCTTTGATAATTCCAACCGCGATGTCTACCAGCAGCTTCAGGGCTAGTGATGTTTCAAGTGGTAAGATTATGAGCTTTAATAAGTAAAATTAGACCAGCTATGTTTACATGCACAAAATGTTTTAATCAGATTGAAATGTATTCAGATTAAATAATCCGGATGTACTGTTTACATGGACACAATCCAATCATAAAAAGTGTTTACATGCACCGGAGTTTTATTCAGAATAAAAGTCAGTTTTCTACGATCAGAATAAGATGATCAGATGTTTACATGAACGTCTTTCCGATCATCAATCAGCATAATCCACCCTTTTCATTCAGATTAAAAATTCATTCGGATCGAGCTCAATCAGATCAGAATAATCCGAACAGCTGTTTACATGACGCATTTTTATTACGAACGGCCATTTAATCTGATTACTTTTGTCCATGTAAACGTAGCTAATGACAGACAACAAATATTACATTTATAGTATTACAACTAAAACTGTTTTTGACGTCGCCACCGCAGTTTGTCCTTCATGAGCCTTCGTAGACAAGATGTCGGTACAAGATGGTGGCTGCCTGTGTGG